ACGCTCACGACCTCGAGCGCATGCGCGTCAAGGGTCAAGTGTATTGCCGGAAGTGTGGAATCTCCCGCTGCGAGCTGCATCGCCATCTCAAAGAATGGATGGGCCCCAACCTGGAGTATTGCACCGTCACCCAAAAGTACGGCCCTCTGCCTTCTGGGGAAGCCGCAGACACTTGCTATATCAAGTCCCCCAAGAACCCGCACCGCTGTGGTCGACATACCGCCAAGCCCGTCAAGTCACACAACTGAGGGTCGCATCTGAACTAGCTTGCAAAGTATCATTTCCTTTTATAAGCATTGCGGTTGGAATTTTGTATGATTAAAGTACGCTGAGACGCCTACTGGTCCGCTTAGTTGTACGACATGGAGTTTAGACAGCAAAACAAAGGGAAGCATCGGGCGAGAGGGTCACTTGTATCATTAGACGAGAAAGGCGTTGGATATCCGGTCAGACGACAAGTGAAAGAGGAGGAACGGAGACGAGACGCACTGCGCCATCTAGCTTGACATTACCATCTTCGAAGCATGGATAGATGAGAAAGACAGCATAGCGAGAGTTGAGGCATAGTCACACATGGGCATTGACTGCAGCTGCGCTTGAGACTGCAGCTAGAAAAGATGAGACAACGAGAAACACATTTACATCATAAATTCATCCAAATACTTGTCAGTCCGATACTCGACGCATCAACTTTTACACGAATAGCTTCACTACTCACTTTTCCGCTCTGAGGTGCCACGTGAGTGCGTACCTAAAAGTTGTCAAGACTCAACTTGAGAGTAAAGGGTCAAGATTTGAGTTGCGTTGAACCCACTGGAATGACGTAATGTTCGAAGCGGATAGATTGTGGACCCTGAAATAGGCCATCCCGTGTAATGCCGAAGGAAGGGATCCGTATCTGTGCAGATGGACAGCGTCATTCTTGATGGGTTTCGGGCAGCGGCCGAAGAAAGGGAACTGAGTCGCGTGCTTCGAGATGGTGGGTGTGATTTTAATTGAAAGTGATTGGACAATGGGACAATGTCTATCTGTTGGCATCTGATAAGGAGGAGCCTCTGATTTTGAGATGCACATAAAAATGCACATCCCTTTTGGACTAGCATCTTGATCTCTTTAGCCAGCCACTGATGAGTTGGTGAGAGCGATGTATGTTGCAGATGCCCGCAGTCGTAATAGATCAGGGGCTATAAGAGCTGAAGTTTTCGGTCGTGTCAAATATTGAAACGTCTGTTTTCCTGTTCTGTTAATAACGATCGCGTAGAGCGAAGAAGAGGTTCCATGCCTCGTAATCTCATCAAGCATGCCATCAATATGAGGCAAAGAGAAGAAACCGTCTTCTCAATCAGTTTTATGATTCATGGAAGAGCCGATACTGTCCCATTCGTGGAGAGAGGCTCGTTGGTTTCATCTTGGAAGCAATGAACCATCTCAAATAAGATAGATGGAGATCGAAAGTGCCAGAGATGCTGATAACGCCAACATACTTTCAGGAACCAACGCCACATGGCCGGTGGAGATCAAGACTTGAGATATCATTAAGACATGGTGGCTTGATCTCTATCGGCCATGGAAATCATTATCTGATTCTTTCGATATGTGACAACGACTCAGTCCCAACTATCTCGAGGCGTTGGAACGGGGGCCGTGCCAAGCCAGCTCGGTGAACTTGCTGTGATCATTGGCGACAGCGGGGTCACAGATCCGTGCCTTTGAACCCCAAAAACTTTCCTTGGCATCTATTCACCTTGTCGACCAAGTGACAGACAACATCGCCAGACAACTCTGTTCACTTGCAACCCTGTATTATCGGCGTGAATGGTTTTCAATTTTCGTCCTGCTAAGGCTCACACCGTCCGGCCTGGCTCAGTTAAAGTGGCTCGGTGCAATTTCCCCCACCAAGCACAATGTTCCCCACGTCAGTGAACCGGGGTGTCGTCCAGTCTCGCTGCTTCGATGGGAAAGGGGCTCCGGCGCCGCGTATTCTATTTACGAATACTACTCGCACGGCAAAACAGCATCTGGCTTTTCTCGAACGAGGTTTGCGGGTCGATGTTCTTCGAGAACTTCCAGGCGCGTTAACCCTCGATTTCAGAATGGGCCATCAATTGTGCGAAAGACAACACCAATGACCTGACCCTTTCTTCGTGTACTTCAGAGTGCGAGGAATCCTGGGTTGTCGCAATGGCATGGAGGGCCAACCGTCCGCCGCCCAGCTCGGCCAAGCCATTGCTCAAGGGCGTGCTGGCCGTCTTCATTCTGACTCTTATTTTGACGAGCACCTACATGTACCGCGACACGATCAGCAGTAGCGCTTCCCGAATCAAGTTCACCGACGGCGCCGCGATAGACTACTTCAAATACCCTTTCAACGCCAGCAACGCCGACACGAATCCGATCGACTGGCTGATTCACGACGCGCGAACGAAACAAGCGGCAGTGCTCCAGAAACGAAGTCGCACGCTTCATAATGCGGCGCAACGCTATCGAGAGCGACGGGGCAGGCATCCGCCACCGGGATTCCAGGAATGGTTCCGCAGCGCCATGGACGCGGATGCGATTGTCGTTGAAGACTTTTTTGACCGGATCTACGACGATCTCAGGCCGTTTTGGGCCCTCGAGCCCAAGACCATCACGAAGCAAGCCAACGCCGGTGATCATATTGTCAGAGTACGAAATGGTACTGCGGCTGGTCATGGAAACGAGGAAGGGAAGGAGCCATGGCTCGAGCTATGGACAGCTCTGGTGGCTGAGTTTGCAAATCATCTGCCGGACGTGGACATGCCCATCAACTACATGCAAGAGCCTCGAATCCTGGTGCCGCGCAAGGATATGGACAAATACGTTGCAAAGGAGGAGAAAAAGAGGACCATGCCCACGAAGAACAAGGCCACGAGTGTGTTCCAGAGCTTGGTTGGTGTAGATGCGGCTCAAGGCAACTCTCCTTCTTCTGCGAAATGGACCAGTGGCGACCGTCGCAAATATTGGGATCTCGTTCGAGAGGCATGCCCCTCGGATGCCCCAGCCAAGAACGTACCCGCGGCGACAGACCTCTCCCTCCCCCCAACCTTGCCATACTCCTGGACGGCGCCCTTTGCTCGCCAGGGCTACGTCCAGAACTTTTCAAGCTCCATGGATCCGTGTGTGCAGCCACACCTCCGCTCACTCCATGGGACCTTTGTCGAGCCGCTCAATGTCAACACCACAAAGGACCTGATCCCCCTCTTCGGGGGCTCGAAACTCCGCGTCAACTCGGACATACTCATCCCGGGCGCCATGTACCTCTCCGACGACCCAACCTATACCGGCGGCAACGTCCGCGGCCCCGCGTGGCCAGAGAAGCGCGACCGCCTCGTCTGGCGCGGCGTCGGCTCGGGAGGTCTCGCGCAGTCGGATAACTGGATGCACTTCCACCGCCAGCGCCTGGTGGAGATGCTGAACGGAACCACCGTAAGCGGCATGGAAGCCAACGACGTCCGGGCCATGACCTTTGACATGCCCCCCGTGGAACGCTACAACACCAAGCGCCGCCGCGCAAGGGGGCTCGGCGCGTTCCTATCCCGGTTCGCGGACGCCGGGTTCACGCACCTCCTGTGCGGGCCCAGCGACGACCGGCGTAGGGAGTGCGACTGGCTGGCGCCGCACCTATCCGTCGTCAATGGCACGCCCATGGCGGAGCAGTTTGCGAGCAAGTTCCTTCCCGATGCGGATGGGTATAGCTTCAGCGGGCGGTTCAGGGCGTTTATGCTGTCGACGAGCGTGCCTCTCAAGGCGACGGTGTACGCTGAGTGGCACGACGACCGGCTTACGCCGTGGATGCACTTTGTGCCGCTGGACAATACCTTTCAGGACCTGTACGGCGTCCTGGACTTCTTTACGGGTGGCGATGACGACGATGAGTCTCAGGGATGGGGAGTCCACAAGGTACTGGGAAAGAAGAGTAAAGGTGACGACGCGGCGCGATGGATCGCCGAGCAGGGAAAGGAGTGGGCGGACAAGGTGCTCAGGCGCGAGGACATGCGCTTGTACGTCTGGAGACTTTTGCTAGAGTTTGCGAGAGTCTGCGACGAACATAGGGACACACTTGGGTACGTGGACGACCTGCCGTAAAAGATCTTCTTGTTGTTGTTTTTTCCTTCGTGCTTTCTTGCATGGTTTGCTGTACACGCATACATACACTCTGGGATATACCATGGGAAGTAATCGACGGCGTAGGCGTTCAGGATTAGGGGAAAAAAAAGAAAAGTTGGCGGCAAGGTTTAGTCTTTGTACGCCAAGGAATAGCTATTGCATAGAGCCAGAAGTATAGACAAGACCTAATTTTCGTCACCTCCGGCTCATCTCGTAGTCGCAATTCCACGACTCCTTATTGAAGCTTATTCCCCGAGTCCATGACTCTATTTGCTAGAAGCGGGCTCCGGTCCGACGGCCGTCGCCGTCGCTTTCGTCAAGTTGGGATTGCCACATGCCATCTTTTTCAGCTTGCGTGAAGCTTATTCGCAACCATCACGAATCAGCGAGGAGACGCGGACATGGGGAAACTTCCTCCCTTCCAAACTTTCACCTTTACCCCCGCCGCCGAATGCAGGCGGGAAGGCGCTTAAACTGTGCACCCACAGGTAAGGTAGCTTCTCCCGGGATCCGATTTTCTCTACTGCGTAGTGCTGAACATGATGGTTCGGCGCACCAGCGGTGGCCGTCGGCCGTCCGTGAATCCACGGAGGCTACGGGAGCATGCCGGGAAGGTTGGATCAAATGGGGTGTAACTTTCCAGTGTGACCGGCACCTCGTCTTTTCTTATTTTCTTGTCTTTTGTGGAAAGCTTGAAAGAAAATCCGCCGGACCCGCGGAATAGTCGTCTATACAAGCACCCTCACTCATTCACTGCTTCTCATCCGGGTACACAGCGAGGTATATAATTCAGCCCATTCGGTCGCCCCTTCGTCTTTTTCGAAGCCTAGAATACACACCCCGTCGAGTTCTGGTGTAATCAAAAGGCTGAGATGCACGTCTGCACACTTCCTCAGTCTCCGGTGCATATCGTCGGCGGGCAGCGCCGGTCAGCTTGGTATCACGGGTTGCCGCGCTGGCGACCGAGCAAGGTCATCTCTTCGAGACCCGCGACACCCTTGAGGCAAGGCTTGCCTGTCAGATCTCCCAAGCGCTCTCGGCATTTTGAGTCGCAGACGGTCAGTAAACTGAGTGGTTACTTCTTTCCTAGCAACGCAATATGTTCAGCGACTGACTGCCCAACAGATGGCGCGTACAACCCAAAATGGTGGTGACCAGAGATTGGAGAGATTTGATAGGGACAAAAAGCTGCTCGAGGAGAAGGCGTCCTTGGTAGAGGTATCAGAGCTGGAGGTTAAACCACTACTCGATCCCGACGAGTACCTCTTTTCGTCTCCGACAGAATGCCTCCCGCAGAAGCGATCTCTGAAGACCCGCTTCAGGATTCGGCGTCTTTTGCGGTCGCAGCGCAGTCCTCAGAGCTTGGAGAGCAAGGCTCCGGAGAAGGACTCTCCCTCTTCTTCGAGGAACAAGAAGCAGTCGTCCGGTACCCGCAAGTCACGGAGCGAGGACGCCTCCGGAAACCAACGTGGCAGCTCTATGAACAGCATGGCCTACCACATCGCCGTCGGCCTGGCATGGAGCATGCCGGCCCCTTTCGATATGATGCCCACTGGATACCCAACTAGATTGTTCTAGGGTTGATTTGATGTTCGTAACCTGGGAGAGACAATGAGGGCACGCTGGTGTCGAGGCGTTTTGGGGATTTGGTAACGGCGTTTGGGTAAATCGACGGACGGGACTTTTGCTTTGTCTTCTACTTTACATTATCCTACCTGAAAAATGAGATTACTATGAAAATTGAGACAACATTACTTGCAAAATTCCGCCTTTGAGAGTGCCGTGAATCGCGAAGTAATTCTGGTTTCTAGATGATGTTGAGCATCCGAAACCTTCACTCAATGCTGGCAAACTTCTATTGTCAAATCGTCCAAGGCAGGCAGGAACAGCATTAGCTCTGGTATACCATAAAATCAAAGACATGTGACAGCTGAATTTTTCAGGTTCTCTGAAGAATTAGTTGACATGAACATTGCACAAAAGTTCACCAGCATGCCTAGCTCTGCATACAAATAAATTTCAACAAAGTTACGTACTCCACGTAATCCTCTGTTGTGAGAAAAATGAGGGGGGAATAATAATCAAGGATACAAATGGGTAGAAGTTTCTCGGTCCGCCTAGCAGACAAGAATGATTAAGTATGAAGGGATGGCTACTTTAAATTTCCATGAGGTAGGTAAGGTACTAGGTAGGCATTGATCCATCCAGCCGAGCGAATACTCCAGAGCCACGACTCTGGTGAAAATTTCAGTGGCATCAATGGCGTGCTCGAGCTCATGATCTACTTGGAAAGCTATGCGGTCCGCGTCGACTTCAAACAAGTCTTGACCAGGCTGGTGTTGTTTCTTGTTTTCTGATATTCTTTGATTTCAGCCCACGTCTTTCTATTGTTTACATATATTCCTATTCCGGAACTTGTCGCTTCATGGCCCTACTGACTTTCGTTATGAACGAAAAACAATGAAATAAAAGAAGGACAGCGGCGATTACGATGATTAAGGTATGAAGGGTTCGTGTGCTGAAGTGGTTCACGCCCTTCCTCGCATCTCAACACACGAGACCGCGGCGTACCTTCGGCCACCGCACTTTACTTTTTCCTACTGCATAATTTGCAGGGCAGGTTCTCTTTATCGATTACGGATTGCTCGAATATTCCCAAGTTGAGGCGCACGAACTCACAAATGCTGAGTTCCGTGGTGTCATCTAAGCCGTACATAGTTCGAACTTACCCGGCATAAGTCCTCCGGCTACGTCCAAGATTTGCACACTGAGCGACAGAAAGCCGACTTTGTAAGACCGCAAAACTTCGACGTCAGTATCGGCACTTTTCCGTAACATATCCCGACGAAGAGAGACATCAGACGCATGGGCCGGAGATGGGCCTACCCGAGCCCAGCTGACATCCAAAGGCGGAGATGGTTACGAAGCGGATCGGAGGCACGCGGCTGATAGGTATGCAGGATAAGAGAAATCGAGCTGGTCCCGTACATTTAATCTATTTACGGAGTATCCGTACCTGACACAAAACTTGCTTATCATATCACGAAATGGAAGAGTACGTCAAAGTCGGCGAAGGCTGGTGTTGTCAGCGAATAGAGGAGGTTGGAGAGGCCGGGAACGAAGCGCGAGCCGTTAGCCGGCAAAAGCGGGGCAGAGTTGGCTGCAACCCGGGTAGGGCCCTGTCACTCTGCTTCGCCGAACCGCCCAACTGTGACGTTTTCCTGCGAGCAATGAATCGAACAACGGGGAAAAGGTGGGGGAGCGAAGCTCGGAGCTGGATTACCAAGCTTGCTGCTGCCAGATGGAGTAAAACCAACCTCAACAGCTTGACAGGACCGACGCTACTACTCAACTCCCTCTAGTATCTCTCACATGCACTCATGTTCATGTGACGGTACCTCAAGGTCGGACTAGGGCCAAAATTCTCTACAGAGACACGCAGAGAGAAAGAGAGGTTGTTTGATGCTTTTGGGTCTTTCCTTGCATTGTTCATGTTCATCTCTTAGTTCCTTCAATACCTTACCTCTTACCTCAACTCAAAAAAGTCTCGGCAATAGCAAACCTTGAGAATTAAGTAGACGCGTGGGGAAAAGGGCTGAATGGCAACGACGCCGGCTCCGAACGCAGTGTGTGTCCGATTAAGACCTTGGGCATTTTGGCCAGTGACGATCAAACAATGGCGGCGGTAGAAGAGCCGTCGAATCTCCGCAACCGGCAACAACATGTCGCTTCTGAGGCTGACGCCGAGAGGACCGGGACCTCTTCGTTCCCCGATGCCACCGAGACGACGACGCTGCTCAACTCGGAGACGTCTTCTCGGACCCTCCACAACGGGTCACCGGCCAGGAGCGGGAGCCGTCAAGACCGGGACTCGGACGAAGACAACGACGATGACGACGGGCCTAAGCAGTCCATCAGCAAGACGCGAGCTGCCGTCTTGATGTTGAGTACCTGGATTCTCATCTTCCTCCAAGGTTCGTCTTAGGACCAACATGTATCACAAGACAAGTACAAAGAAAAAAACTGACTTATGCACCACAGCATCAAACACATCCGGCATGACAATGACGCAGTCCATAGTCGCCGAGGACCTCAACGCCTACTCGCATGCAATGTGGTTCACCAGTTCCTACCTCATCAGCATGGCCTCGCTGGCGCCACTGTTCGGGCGCCTGGCCACCATCTTCTCGCCCCGCATCCTCGTGCTCTGGCTGGGCGGCTTCTTCGGCCTCGGCGGCGTCGTCACCTCGCAGGCGCCCTCCTTCTGGGTCTTCATCGCCGGCAGAATCCTGACGGGCATGGGGGGCGCGGGCATCATGACGCTGTCCGTCATCCTGGTGCTCGAGCTCGTGGGGAAGAAGAGGAGGGGCGTGTTTGTCGGACTGGTGAATGCGGGCTTCACGATTGGGTTATCGTTTGGCGCTGTCGTGTACGGCGCATTGTTGCCCGTTATTGGATGGGTTCGTGAAAATTTCTCCTAACCGTTTCGATGAGGAAGAAAAGGGCTGAGAGCTAACATGGGTATACAGAGAGCTCTGTTTGGTGTCCAAACCCCTCTCGGACTCCTCGCCGGCATTGGTGCTTTCTTGAGCATCCCGAATAACTTTAGCTCGGATCACAAGACCAGAGGCAAGTCGGCTCTCCAGAAGCTGGCTCACATCGACTATGCGGGTGCTTTCATGCTGGTAAGTGTCTCCCCTTCACACGGTTTAACCGCTGCCCAAAATACCCTACCGATAGCTAGCTAATACCTCGCAGGTATTAACCATCGTCCTCTTCCTCTACGGCCTGTCAGGCGACATCAACCCCTTATCTCTACTCCTCTCAGCTGTGTCCCTCCTGCTCTTCATCGTCATCGAATTCAAACTCGTCACGGACCCAATCATCCCAATCTCCGTCCTCTCCTCCAGGGGCGTCCTGCTCTCCTGCACCGCCCAGCTGCTCTTCATGTCCATCCGCTGGACTCTGCTCTACTACACCCCCATCTTCGTCCTCGCCGTCCGCGGCTACGCCCCCGCCATCGCGGGCTCTATCCTCATCCCCACCAACATCGGTTTCGGCTCCGGCGGCCTCATCGTCGGCTGGCTGCACGTCCGCCGCAACGGCGCCTTCTGGTCCCCCTCCGTCGTCAGCCTGACGTGCTTCGCGGCCACCATGTTCGGCCTCTCGCTCGTGGCCACCGAGACCTCTCCGTTTGCGGTATTCGTGCTGGCCGTCGTGCTTAACGGCCTCGCTACGGGCGCGACGCTGAATTATACCCTCGCGCACCTGCTGCACCTCAGCCATCCGGACGAGCACTTCATCTCGACGTCGCTGCTCGGCACGTTCCGCGGGTTCGGAGGTAGTTTTGGAACCGCCATTGGCGGCGGTGTGTTTTATCGCCTCCTGCGCTCGGGTCTGGTCGCCAGCTTCACGGAGCTGGATGGCGGCGAGCGACTGGCGGAGGGGCGGGAGGAGCTCATCACCAAGCTCATTGGGAGTCCTGCGCTGGTGTTCCACGGCGGGCTGAGTCCCGCCGAGCACGAGATCGCGGTGGAGCACTATGCTGGTGCCTCAAGGGGCACGTGGCGGGCTGCGGCGGCGTTGGCGGTCGTTGCGATTTTGTGTCAGGCGAGTACGGGGTGGAGGAGCCCTGTTGGTGGGAAGGAGGTAGATGATGAGACTGAGGCGAGGGCTACGGTCATGGAGAATGAGGGCGTCGGGGAGGCGTAGTGAACGGATGGGAGCGTTCCGTGGCGGAGGGTTCGGCTTAAGCATATCGCATGGGGCGTAGTGAGTGATGTTTTGAGCGTTGGATGTTGCATCGTACATGTAGGCACTGCCATGTGGCACCGCCATTTTGATATAATTGTTTTGCCAAAGTCTTTTGACGTTCTCCAAGATGGGGCTGGCTTGTATATTAGTCTGGAAATACAGCAGAGAGGAGATGTTTATACAATAGCACGAGACATAACCTCCTTGCTTCCACTCGCTGAACAGAGATGATTATCACTCTTTGCACCCAGGTAGTTTTGCTAAGAGTAGAGTCACAGAAACGGTCTGCATTCAAGCGGTACCAAAGTCAAGGTGGCATTATCCGAAATTCTAAGCCGATCCTCCACGGCTCACGCATAGTGGTCCAAGTCATGCGAAGTACAACATTGGCCGATGATGGAATAGTTGACCTTGCATCAGGTAGCATTAGGCTCTCTTCCTCATCGAGCGGCATGGCGTCTTGCCGCTAGGAAACGCAACTTAGAATAGAGGGGACTCTGGCGATGGAAGACGGAAGTTCACACATGTCACATGCAGCCAAGATTTATCAAATTCATCAGGACCGCTGAATCACTGTTGAGTCTTTGCCCTTTTTTCACAGGTATTCCAGGAGCATAGACCTCCTCCAAACTCTGCAGGCCTCGTACAACCAAGAAGTCACTAGGCTCTGCCACAGGCTTCTGGAGGCATCAAAGTCGGCATGATGATGTTTATACAGGGCCCATTTGGCTGTGCGTGCTGGCTTGAGGACCCAAGTGCCAGTCTTAAACACGGGACATGATGCTGCCTTTGACACGCAAAGGGCTGTGGGTGAAATTCGTTGTGGTCGAACTGCCGTCGCTAACACTGGACGAAGGCGGGGCATGTCTTGAGCAAAGAAGCGCACCGTGGTCGACGATTCATTCTCGTCGGTGAAGAAGAAGGAAAACGAATTGCCAAATACTGTGAGGAGGGAATGGAGGCGTGTACTCGACGGGCTCATTACCTAAGTTTGCGAAGGTTGTCAGGTTGGTTTGGGCCGGTTGCACGTGTAAGTCGGAAAGCAGCACGCCGTCATTCTTCCGATACCTCGGCCCTGATAACAGGAGTTCATATCCAAGACCGGCACTGGTGACGCGAGAAGCAAATATTGTCGATTCATCGACAGTGGGTTGGTTACACATGGTCTGAATGCTGACTGTCGAATGGGGACTCGATGCTTGTCGTGCTCGAAGGGTTGATCGTGTGTCTTTGGCGTATATGTTGTCATGATGTTGCCAAAAGAACCTCCCTTGTCTTTCAAGGCATCTTCATATTGTCCTGCAACAATGTCATCTTGCCGGCTGTCGTCTTTCGTTCTCAATGCGGTACCCGAGTAACTGTGCAGCCTGCGATTCAACGGCATCTCGACTTCTGAAGCTCTGCATTGCTTTTCACAAAAAATTACGAAACCCGCATATCCGGGCCGGTTCTATCCTTGGCGTCGGTAGTTGTCTGTCATAGAAATCGAAAACGGCCAGATGAACTGATCTGCTTCGCTTCTTATGTTCTTTTCGTGCTGGGAGTCTTGGCCTACATATCTCGAGGGAAATGCTCCACCTTGGCACCGTATCTATGTTTCTCCACCAACGGAGCTCGTCGACGATTGCGAACCGGGCGAAAGATGATTCTGCACCAATGAAGTTGTAATATGTTGTTGACCACGTTTGATCACGATGTGCTTCCGATTGATTGCCAAGAAATTTGTTTCTTGGAGCAAAGGGTCGAAGCTGACGAGGAGTTGGAAAGTTGAAACCCTCGAAAAATGGACCTAGATCTCGAAACCCTTGGTTTGTGTTGGGATGCTCGGAAGAAGGCGAGGACGGGGGCTCGAGGTCCCACACTAGCGGGAGCCGGAAGCCGATTCACTCATATCCACGAATTGTCGTCAAGACACGATATTGTAAGCCCACCTGGATGATGTGACTTTCGAGTTTCGAAGCGATGGAATCACTTTGAAGGAAACTTTGCGAAGGAGTGAGATGAATGAGGGGTGGGCCACAGGAAGCTTGCCAGGTTCCACCTTTTAGGCCATCGTGGACCTCTCGGAGTCGATACCTTTGCCAAACCGACCAACGTGTGATTGTTGGACGGGCAGATAAGCTTGTGCTAAGGGTGCTCTTATTTCTCCGAGCGCACATTGGCATCTGCAGCAGCGGCTATGCCGGCTGCAGTGGTTGTAGGACCGAAGACGCGGTAGACGGAGGGTGGTTCTGGAGACTGGTCCATGATGCGGGGACCGGTTTTGCGCCCCGGAGCGGCTGTGGCTTTCCCGGAGCTGAACCGTTCTTGTTAGATGGGCTGGTTTGGGCTGGTCTAGTATATCCGTACGCCGAGGGAATAAAGGGTCACCGTCCATCTTTAGCCATCTGCAGCCGGTTGGCGAGCTTCCAGAAAGGTCGCCCAACGACCCGGCGGTTGTTGGCAGGAGGTGTGGTCAACGGCTGGCGATCCCGAGGATATCGTATTGAAAGAGGCGGGGCCCAATCAAATATTTGCCGATTGTGTTTCCACAATTTGCTTCCCCAGAAGGAGCGATCTCCGTCAAAGGCACAAGCCGTTCGTTCAGAGATAAGTTACAACGCTGGATAGAGACCGGAACTGGCCCGAGAAGGGGTTTGTTTGACTCGTCAGCAACGGCTGCGTGACCTCTCCTCAAGGACCGGCAATTGTTTCATGAATTGATGATCCATCAGGTGGAGAATATCAAGGACGAAGTTGTGTACAAAGTACAGAATAAAGGCGGCGGTACATAATAGACCACTGATTCTCAAGAGAGACAGATTTGGCAAATTTGGCCGAAATGTTCAAAGTGTAACTTGTAGGTAAGTAATACCAAGACCATGCAAGTCGGGAGAGGTGAACTCTGCCGCTTTCAGGCTAAGGGATAAAGGCGACATGAAGGCTTGATATTTGTGCGGTAAGCGACATGGGCCGCGGAGGATCTCTCTTTTGCTCGGCTGCAACCACACATCGAAGAGGCATGTAGGTTTGTCGTGAATGAGACCGATGGCTTGAAGAGAATGGTACAGTCTGGACATCGATAGAGTTAAGGCTAAGGTAGCGCTATATGCTCATGTATAGGTTGTGACAGGTGAGCCAAGCCGGTCAAACATGATCATTTGCGACTTGCCCTGCCCTGTGAGGGTTGAGATGAGGTGATACTCTTCTCTAGAGACAGAGAGATGCAGGTTGTAGCGGTATTCGTAACTTCCATGGTGAGAGGTGTGAGAGAGGTGTGTGTGAGAGTATGTGAGGAATCCTTGAACCATGCAAAGGAGTTTCCCTTCCCTCCCAGCGGCACACTAACGGTGCCAAGTCGTCCCGAATGGCGTGGACGGAGCCTCGTGTGATTGGCGGAGAATCTTTGACATTTAAATCCCGGAAATAGGAAAAATGCGGCAAATCTTTGCGGCGACCAGATAGCTCGGGGGAGCCCCCCCCCTCCCCTTCTCCCCTTCCCAAACTCTCCCCAACCCTCCCCAGCCAAGTTGCTCTTCAGGGGGAATTACAACCACTGACCAGCAGTTACCTCGACTTGTCAGAGTCTCAAGGAACCCACAGGGGATGGCACTCCCCCATGCTTTCCCCATTTACCCCACCATTTTGGTATGCACGAGTCGCCATTACAGGTCCCCAGGCCCCAGGGCCAGGAGTACTCGGGTCCCGCACATCTCCAACTTCCTCTTCAACTCGCGTGCTTGTCCCAAATGTCTCTTCATCGTAGACGACCATCAGGTACCTCGCAGCTTTGAGAAGCAACGTAGCTTTCCCCTTACCAGGTGTCTTGAGTTGAGGCGGCTCCCTCCTGTCCACACCCTCAGCAGTAACGACAACAACAGGACCATCAATATAGGGAAAGGAATTTTCCCCCGAACTGCCAGATACAGAGACACATCGAGCCTTACTTGTCTTGGAACAGGATCATCGTTGGACGGTGTTCTAGCCGGCCTTGCAACTGAATCCCATCGAGGGCCAGTCCAGCACTTCCAGCTCGGCCTCATTATCCCATCTAAACGCAGGCAGGGAGTGTGTACCTTAGCTTGCCTCGCCTCGCCTCAAGTCAGGAACATCGGCACAACCAAGACTTGCTTCTTTCGTTCGTTGACCACCGGGACCCAAGCTTTCCTTCCTGTGGCCCCAAGCATCCAGTCAGCAAAGAGCAAACGTCTTCCTTGGGACCAACACCCCTGGCAAGACTCCAGAGACGTGCAGGAGCATCTGAGAAACGGCAGCAAAGCCAAGCCGTAGCAGCAATAGCAGCTGCGGTACCACGACCACCACGACCACAACCATCAGCCAACGTCGAGCTTCTCCTCCTCATCCTCCTCCTCCTTCCAGTCCCCGGCCCCAGCTCCTAGTCCCATGGTAGACTCCTAGTCCCAGTCCCAGTCTGTCTGCCCCATGCCAAGCTCTCCGGCTTGCCCCTCTACCCCTTCTGGCTCTTGTCAAGTAACTCGGTGGAACGCAGCGTCTGTGGTGGAACAATTCGCCTTCCCCAACTTCCATCAATCTTTCCGTCTCATCCACCAACGACAAGCAGCGGATTGTCCATTGCGATTCGACTTCGCCGGCTTTGCCGTCCAAAGTCCACAACGAGTCTATTCACACTCTAGACCCCGCCATCCCAGCAATATCGCTCCTACCAATTGTCCCGGTCTGGTCAGGGATCTCCAACCTCTTGGTCTGGCCCAAACTTCCATACCATACCGCAAGAAACTCATACGGATGAAGGAGAACCTTGTTCATTCGTTCCTCTCACAACGTTGTTCTGCTCCGAAAGCTACCGCGCCGCCGCCTCGGCGCTTCCCTGTCGGCGAAATAATCCCTTCTCCACGCCAGACTACTGACCACCTTGCGGCCCTGTCCTTCCCGTGCCATCGGCCGGTTCGTCTCAAGTTCTCAACTCCTCATATTGCAACAACATCCACACAAACGCCATCTTACCCGGTCAGGACAGCTTCCACGCCGCCTATCTGAGTTGAGCTTCTCCCTTATGCTTGCTTGGCTGCGTGGTCACAAAACTCCCCCACGGTCCGACTCGCGCGCCACATGCGACTGGCCCTGCAACACCATCACCAGAGCTTCAATCGAGATTTCTGCCGCCTGCAGTTGGCACGCATCCCAAGCCCGCCTGCGCTTCAAGTAGACGAACCAGCCCACCCTTGGAATCGCGAGCTTCCAGTCCTGCATAGGAAACACCTAAAGCAACTCGCGAATTGGTGGAAGAAACTACTTGACCCCAGCAAATCGATCCATAGGGCTCTCTTCTCGTCGTCATCGTCTTGTTGTAATCGCACGCGGACGGGGCTTCTCTTACTCTTATCAATCGCAGCCTGCGGAGCGCATATCACGCCCCCGATTTCAAGGGCACGTCGTATGCACCAGCCTCACGACGACCCCCACCGGTTTCCTCTTCCCGGCCGCATATCTCTTTAACACCATCAGGTCACCTGACGCACCTCGGCCCTGCTCTGTCTTCTCTATCACAGCACACCTTTCATCCCCGCTGTGGCCCCTCGAGTCTGCTTCCATTCGTCCCCCCGAACTGCCCTCTTGGATCACCAGTTCGTCTTGTCATGGGACTTTGGCCAGACATAATCAACATCACTAACCACCGCCACCATACTTCCTTACGGTCAACCCAGTCGTTCTGAAGGAGGAGAAGGGGAGGGAGCGGTTTATCGTGGCTTTGTTTCGTATTCTCCACCTCAGTACACCGTCCCAGGAGTGACTGCTCGTTTCTCGCAACTCGAAATCCACGGCTCTTCAAGCGCTGCCATGGCATCAGTACACCAACTCGGCGTCGGTCCAACGCCGGCGCGCCCTCGAAGCATGGTTGGTTCGGGCAATCAAGACGTCGAGATGGACGTTGACCGCAACGCCAGCCCTGCTATCACCACGGGCACAAGGTTCGGGAGTGCTCCTCAAAGGGGAGACACGAGGATCGTCGTTATCCTGTATGGGACCGGCCAGGACAAGATTGTGTCCGTCTTCGCAGATGTTCTGGGGAAACCATTTGTCATCCGCTCTGCGTTCCAGGAGGTCAGCGTTGCTGACCAAGGGCTTGTGGTTGGCATTCCAGCAGAACTCGCTGCAAAGGACATTAGCTCTCGCAATAGAGAGTTGGTTGTGGCGATCAACGCCCACTGTGTCAACCTTGGGATGCCACCGGACGTCTTCCTCTCAGCTCAGTGCGACTACGAGTTTCTCTACACCGAAGCACCATTCTTTCGTCGAGACTTGTCGAGATTCATCTCCTTCACTCTAGGCCAGATCTGCCACCACGAAACGTTGATGCAGAAACCACGAACGTATTTCATCTCTACTACGTTCCCAGACGTTAGTGCTGCGTTGCCAAATATCGACATCCTCACTGTCGGCGCCGACGCAGTGGAAATTCGTGTTGATCTTCTCAAGGAGCCCCTCGGCGACGGCACATATTCGGCTATCCCAAGCCTCAGCTATGTCGGACAGCAGCTGATGCTCTTGCGTCAGCGGACAGAACTTCCCATAATTTTCACCACTAGGTGTACAAGAGAAAATGGTCGTTTCCCTATGGAGAACCCCGATATTTACTATGAATATCTCTACCGAGCAATTCAATGGGGAGTTGAGTACATCGACGTGGAACTATGGCTTCCGGAAGCCATTCGAAAGAAGCTTTGGGAACAAAAGGGAAGCAGTCGGATCATGTCTGCGTTTCACGACTTCTCTGGTACCTTCAAATGGCCCTCGTCTCAAGCCGAGCAGGTGTACGTTGAATCAAGCAAGTACGCCGATATCATCAAGATGATTGCCATCATCAACGACCACAACGAAAACTTCGAGTTGGAGTACTTCCGCTCGAAAATGCGAGCAGACTATCCGGATTCACCGCCATTCTCCGGAGTCAACATGGGGGAAACCGGCCAGTTCTCACGAACTCTGAACAAGGTGTTCACCCCTATCACTCATCCCTTGTTACCGATAGTCGCAGCTCCAGGTCAAATGAGTGCGTCGGAAATCAACGCGGCCTTGGCACTACTTGGGCAACTTCCCAAGAAGAGCATATATGGCATCACAACACCGGCTTTCCGAAGTTCAACTCCGCAAGCACCATTCTATGAGAAATGCTTCAACGAGCTAGGCCTGCCGCATTACTTCGCCGTTGTAGAGCGCTTGCCAAACAACTTTTCAAGCATGGAAGCTTGGTGTAACCAAAAGAACTTTGGCGGTGCCTACCTCAGCCCGCCAGTGTCGTGGAATAGCCTGCTCAAGGCCAGCCCGTTCTTTGCTTCGCTCAATGGCGGCAAAGGCGCAGAGTTGACTGAGGCAGCTCGTTTGATCGGTACAGTAGACACAATCATAGTCAAGTCCGGTTCATCATCTTCGGCGTCTTCTGCCCCAGCGTCGATTCCTTCAAGCCCTCGTCATGGGCACCATGACTCTTTCGGCCACCTGGGGTCACACATCTCTGGCCTGTCTCCGAGTACATCATTGATCCTGGACAATGCTAGTTGGCGTGGCATTATCAGCACGCTGACCAGAGACATGGCGCCTTCTGCCTACTTCGGTCGGACCGCTGTCGTACTGGCTTCGTCTGGAGAAGATGCCGCATCAGTCATGTACGCTCTGAAAGCACTCCGCATGGCAAAGATATATACCGTTGGCTTTCGAACACCGCCGGCTCTGGCCCGTGACGGTCCCGTCATTGAACCGTTCAACAGTCTGGAGAGCCTCAAGAAAGCGCAAACCGTGAGCGATGATGCTGCTCCTTTCTTATTCGTTTCGGCTCTCGGAGCAGACAAGAGCAACCTTGTCGGTATGCTGGTGCGTGTCTTTGGCGCCAACGTCCGAGGAAACTCGAACTTCAAGAAAGTCTTCCTCGATCTCGCCGACACTGCAGGTGCCAGAAAAGGTGGTGATCCGGGCCTGATCGCCCAACAGGCAGGATTCTCGGCGTATGGTGTTGCTGATACGGCCGCCTTTACCACTGTTGAGACTCTCAGGCTGCTGGTCGGTCAGAACGTGCCCTACAGCTTTGTTCGATTGGCGAGTGGCAGAGGCATGTTCTGAGTTGTGTAGAGATGTTGAGCCTCTGAGCTCCGCCAGTCTTACGGAGATTCAAGAAGCCGGCCGCACATCCGCCTCTTTTTTCTGTCAGGCTCAAGGAGTTTCAAAAAACTTGGCCGTTGGCTCCATCACAAAAATTTCTAGAGGCAACGCCTGCGATTCTATGCAAACCACGGGGTATGCTAGGTCACAAGAAGCAATATGAACCTGCGGCCAAGCTCTAGACCCCAGGTAGCCAGGCCAGGCCAAGGCCTGTGGAGTTCTCCACGATGGCCAAGACAAACCATCGGCTGCTACCCTCAGTGCGGAGAACGGAGGGGGCGATCGAACCAGGCCCGAAGCTGCATTTCCATGTCAACTCGGGGCCTGGAAACCGGAGCTTGAGACCCACCATGTCATTTCCGATGCCAGTCCTCACAAGGAGCTGTGCAGAGCGGAGTTGCTGACGCGGAAATGGTGCAGAAGAGCATCTGATTGAGTAGGCGACTCATCGGGCAAGGAAATGGTCCAATGCATGAATGGCGTTTATTTGGAAGAGAAAGCTGCTGGTTCGAGGTGAGAGAAGAGGTGATTTGGAGGGAAGCATTTACAAGATCTAGTTTCTACATAGCTCCCGGGTGAGGACGAATATCCACGAGGCGTTTTTTTCCGATTTCGAAGATATCGCCTCTTTCTTATTTCATTAGGTTTAAAGCGTGGGACTTATCGAGGCACAGTCGTGTCTCTGACAATGTCATGTAGACAACGACCATTGGTAGTCCTCTAGAGAGGTCTGTCAATTTTCTGTGTATGAACTAATGCAATTCGTGGTGGTCAAAAGAAGTGACTTTTCCGCGTGAAATCTTCGACTATAGATATCTTCCATATTCTCCTTTGACAAACCTTCTTTGGCTTCCTCTCCCACCAACCTCAGAAGTCTCGAGATCTCCGCTCTGCGAAGGTACGTCCATGGGACAGCGGCTATAGATCCTTACCTGGAGTGGCGAAAATCAAGATCTACAGGGTCTCTCAGGGTCCTTGCAATGTAGACTATATTGAGAGAAGGAAGGGAAGGAAGGAAGAGATCTCCAAACAACGAGGGGTCAGGATTGAGCCAGCGTAATCCGATGACGATGGATATCCTACCCACCAGCTTGCCTTGAATCAACGGGTCAAGAGCAACCGAGCCAGCCATGCTGGAAGTTGATGGTAAGCCGGTAAAAAGCAGCCAGCCTCCCTCTCACTTGCGGATATGGCTCAATGTGCTCATGATCCTCCTGCCATCCGCCTTTTACAAAGCCACGACGTTACATTCTGTGGAAAGCTGACATGGCTTAGATTTGGTCTACCGTATAACCACGCGGCGTTGGGTAATCATTGTTCAGCTCATCAGCGGAGAGGATTGGTGCGTTTGTCTGTGAGCGATATCTCGGACGTTCTTGATGTTCGTTATTCAAAGTCATAATACCTCGTACAACGGGATCCTGAGGCCCTGTGGCTTGGGAATACTCTCTGTGAAGTATAGGTAATAGACCGTAGTGAAGGAGGATAGCCCGGCTTAGGAAAATTAGTGATCAAGTCCCTCTCGGTCTAAGCAGAGGTACTGGTTAGAAGAAGCCTAGCACACTCCGCCCGCCAGGCTTCACTCCGTCTCGGCG